GCCTGAGAAGCTTGTTTATTTAAAGTTTCACTGTCCGAAAAGCTTGTTTATTTAGTTTCACTGCCTGAGAAGCTTGTTTATTTAAAGTTTCACTGTCCGAGAAGCTTGTTTATTTAAAGTTTCACTGTCTGATAAGTTTCTTTATTTAAAGTTTCACTGTCTGATAAGCTTCTTTATTTAGTTTCACTGTCTAAGAAGCTTGTTTATTTAAAGTTTGACTGTCTGAGAAGCTTGTTTATTTAGTTTCACTGTCTGAAAAGCTTGTTTATTTAGTTTCACTGCCTGAGAAGCTTGTTTATTTAAAGTTTCACTGTCTGAGAAGCTTGTTTATTTAAAGTTTCACTGTCTGATAAGCTTCTTTATTTAAAGTTTCACTTCTTAAGAAGTTTGTTTAGAGACATCATAGTCTAATGAGTTTGTTTAGACTTCATGGATCTTATGACCCGAGCTTTTATATGGTATTACAATTCGATGAGTTCACTTTAAAAGACGCAATAAACAAAGGAGCTTGTGTGGCATTATGGTGTACAATAAGTCATTTATAAACATCATTCCATAATGCCACACAAGCTCCTGTACAATAAGTCATTTATAAACATCATGGAGCTTGTGTGGCATTATGGTGTACAATAAGTCATTTATAAACATCATGGAGCTTGTGTGGCATTATGGTGTAAGGAATCATTTATAAACATCATGGAGCTTGTGTGGCATTATGGTGTAAGGAATAATTTATAAACATCATGGAGCTTGTGTGGCATTATGGAGTAAGAAGTCATTTATAAACATCATGATCTGAGGATCGTTGTTTTTTACATCATGATCTGAGGAGGTTAATTACAGAAATAACCCGAGGATTTTGGTTTATAGAATATATTATACAAGTTGTTTGTTTAGACGGTTTTGAATAGCTTACATAGATCTGAATTTAACAGTTCGTGAAGACCAACAAGCTCAAGAATGTTTGTTACCAATGATTTCTCAACGACTCGCTGTCTTAAGATCTAAAACTTCCAACTGCTAATGAATTGTGTTCACACGTATTTTCAGTCTTAATTTTTATACTTGGAAAATATGATTTTTGAAATTTAGGTAAACCGCAATCTGTTACGACTTCCTTCCCTTCATAAAAAATCTTTATGGCAAAGTTACTAAGGATGTCCGCCGCCGTCCCTAATTGTGAACTACTGACCAGAGGGAAGGCATCCAATCAACAGCACCCTACCACCCACGCTAAGGGACGGACTATCATTCTTATAACGGACTCACAGCTTAAAGTTTGGGGAATAATTTGTGGTATCGCACAAATTCGAACGCAGCTACGAAATCCACAGCTCTACCACAGGGCCGCGCTCCTAATATATACCTTTAAACCAATGAATCTACCTCTCGTGCTAACCAACATATTATTGGATTAAGTATATTTACAACCTCGCTACTGGTGTTACGTAACGAAATGTTTGTCTTGTGATAGTCGATCAAAAACCAAATTATACGAAGCTGGTTATATTATCTAAAAAAAAAATTACTCGTGTACTATCGATTTGATATAATAACAACAACACAGTTTAAATCCAAGAAGTTTTTATAAAAAATATCTTGTAATAATTCACAAAATATTCACAGGATCACTGGCCTAATATTTAAACAAGTTTAGGTTTAAAGAAAAAACAAATCAAAGTGATTATTAAACGGAACAAAAAAAAAAAAAAACTGGTCAATTACAACTCGAGATTTTGAAACTAATTTCAAGGAACAAACACCCATTGTTCAAATAACTTAAGAAGCGAATATACAGATGTATCGCGAGCATAACTTATGATAAACCAACCTATTTACAATCCACACAAAATAAATATCTCCAGTTAACTAATTAAGTTAATGAACCGCACACTTAAATAAACTTAAAACTTTAACCCTAATAAAAAATATGTTGTGCTCTGTTTTTTAAACTGATGCCGGTAAACTTTTGGGCTTTTTTTTTTTACATAGAAAAACAAAAGACTTATACAAACTTGTGTATTTCTTATATAAAGTATTTACATTGCATTGATTGGCCAGGGCCATTTTTTTCCCCAAAACTGTCATCAGGAATGCTACGTGTGAAAACTGGCAGGTTAATAAAATAATTTCTCTCTTTCTCTCTCTCACTGACTTGGAGATAAAACAAACAATACAGCTGAACAAGTAACGAACACTAGATCTTGCACTGCGGTACAGAAAGGAACACCCCCCGCAGACCGACAATGGGGGGGGGGGGATGATGAAGTGACTTATTGTGAACGCGTGGGATTGTTCTGTCCATCACAACTGTATCTAGGAACCAAGCACCTTTCAAGACTAACGGACCGTCCAATCAAATGCTATCGTGGCTAGAAGTAGAAGCCTGATCGAGAGAGTGCTGGTCGACAGAGTTACGTCTCACGGGGATCTCGGATGACGTAACGCTCCCCAGCTCGGCGGACATCCAAGGATGTTCCAAGATCTCTTCCAGGGATGGACGATCACACGGACGTAGAGACAGGCATTTTCTGATGAGGTCTTGGCAATCTGCGCGTAACAGAATCAGGAATTAGATATTGATAATGGCACCTTTAAAAACGGGTTTGTCCACAATATACCTTTCACGGTATCTGTACACTTCAATACAAACTTAACAAGACGTAACTCACCCTGTGATAATCTCCTACGGAAAGAAATCTCCGCCCTCAGAATCTGTTCGTCATGTTGAAACGGTATGTCGCCACATACCATGTCATATAACAAAATTCCTAACGACCAGACTGTGGCACTGGTCCCATAGTAACGGTTACTACCGATCCATTCTGGTGGACTGTACACACGGGTACCTAGAGTAAAAAAAATATATTAAAAAAATCGTGTATGTTGTGACGTAATGTTTCACAATTTGCAACAAACCAGAAATAAAAAGTTAACCTACGCTGAGATGGGGAGGGGGGGGGGTAATTTTTCAGAAGAAAACAAAAGTCAGTCTTTCATAAATACACGTAAGATTAATTAATATCATGCACGTACTTGTGAGTGAAGTTTAAAGCAGAAAGCACAGGTAACAACGTCTGACCTGACCCATTTTATAAACACCGCCGCCTCCAAGGGCTAACTGAACCGCAAACATCGTCAGCGTTCTTTTAGTCTCGGCAGTAAAGGAATGTAAAGGCCTCAAGTCAAGCAAGTCGACTCAAATAGGTTGAGTGACCAGTTCTTTGGGAATTGCAGGTGTACATACGCCGAGACAACGACCCCCTCGGGAAGTACACCACACAGGCACAAGTTCCTATTCCCCAGCGTGTAAAAACTAACCAGTCTGCTCACGTGTTTCGTGTGTATACACGTATTACTACATATTGATCGCGACGAAGCGCCATCAAGTTTCGGCGCGGGAAAGAGAAATGGAACGTACCGTGTGAAAATATCGATCTCCAACGCAACACTAGACAGCCCAGTTCGTAGGTTCTGGCACGGAGCCAAGAACATCAGCATTTAACGTTGTAGTTGAGAAAATGGCAGAAAAAAAGTATTACGAAAATTACCGAGCGACCTTGCCGGACAAGGTCATTTTCCACAACTTTAAAATAACTTATCAAAATGTCCCAACGGACTAACAACCCACGAAACAATGCACTGTTTAGCAGTAGTAATTCGGACGTAAAGACGTAGATTCAGAAGAAAAACACTCGTATTTCTGTATTAATGTAGATTAAAATATTATTAAAATATATATAATTAAAATTAACAGCTATTTAAACTTTTTTTTTCAATTTACGTATTTTTATAGTTAATAAGCAATAATCTTTAAATTTGAAACAGATACAAGTCGTGCCTTTCAGCCACACCCATGCTCTGTCTACACGTTTACGATATACTCCATAAAAGGTCAAAGTTCTACGACTAAGTACACACTCAGAATTTGTGGGAGTGCTCCCTCCCCTCTACTCACGAGTTTATCAATAGATTCTCGTAGTTAAAATATTTGCCACAAGGCGGACTAGCACTTCGTCTGTTAATGGAAAAGTTGAATATATTTCGAATACATATATATATATATTAAAGTAGAAACCATGAGATACTTCTCTTTTAACACAGCTTATTTATTTCATATTAACCTCTTGTACTATAAAAAAAATGAGCCCCTGATTTTTACGTTATCTCAATACTTATTGTAGGTTGTTTTTAAAAACTCGTTAATTTTCCATTATCAGCCGAGATAACTGACCACTTCCAAACAATGCTTCCAACTACTCATGTTTTACTTGGTGTGCAACTTTCTTAAGATTATCTTTTAATTCTACAGGTTTAAATGAATGGGGCATTCATTCATAATTTCTCTAAACCTTTAGTCAAATTAGAAAAAACAACAAAGAAACTAGGCCTACCAGTTAGTACGTGGCATCATAACACTTAACCCTTAATATTCAATGAAACGTTAAACTAACAATGGATAAAGTAGTACTTTTAGAGAAGTAAAAAGGAAGAAAAAATGTTCCCTCTCGTCTGCAAACCCACTCAACAGTGTTATCATTTTACCTAGTATTGCATCTCTACAATACACACTACGTAGCTTTATAAGTCCATTCTTACCATCAAAGTCGGTATAAACGGTTTCTTTCAGGTACGTCCCAGATCCGAAATCGATCAGTTTTAAAGAAAAGTTATTTAGGTCAACGAGGATGTTCTCGTCTTTAATGTCACGATGAATGACATACGCGTCATGACACGCCATCACGGTCTCGACGACCTGCCGAAAAAACAGGCGGGTCAATTTTTCGTCTAGAACACCTCGCTCGGTGATAAAGTCGAACAAATCTTGTACAGTCTCGGGTTTTTCCATTACAATGATAAATGAATCAGGCCTTTCATACCAATCCAACAATCGTATAACGCCCGGAACGCTACTCACTCTTCGTAGCAGGCAGACTTCAATAGGCACACGGTGTCCGTTAGTCTAGGTGAAAAAAAGGAAAACAAAAAAAGCATTAGGCCACACGAAAATATTCAACTCATTTTTATGATTTAAATAAAACGAGAATATTCAAGATTCTTTACCCGAAGAAAAAAAAAAGAAGGGCTAAACCCAATAGAATAAGAACCTCATGAATGAAACGCCCTTAGTAAACGTTTCTGGTACATTATTTGTTTTCAGGTTTCACGAAGTTAGACCAACATCGTAAAATCCCTATGTCGTGCATTTTTCAAACTAACATCCCACAGACGAGATGATATATTCAAGAAATCTTATTTTATTTTTAACTTCTGTAAGAAATAAGTATGATATTTGATTTTAAAACAAGCACGTTTGTATTGTGCAACAACATTTTACTGAACAGATGTTTAACTGTAACCTACAGATACGATACGATGTGCTATACATTGATATATCTTAATAATAACACTACAAAACTATGGAGTACAAACATATTCATGTCTCTCTAGCATCTTTACACTATTAAAAGAACACAACCGATGGAAAGTCACTTAATAAATTCACTAAGCAGGGGCTAATTCATGGCTATTAAATACAAGTCAAAGACTAATTTACAAATAAATTAAAATGAAGATCAGCGCCACCCACCTGTCCCCAGTCCGTTACTTTTTCTTTTGGTATATGTTTGATTGCAACCTAGAATAAAATAGTAAATCTATTTTAACACTTCACTTTATCAAACTAATACTTCGAATTTTCTTCAGTATTTACATTTCGTCACTTCACTTAAGAAATTAGAGCTTCAAATTACACAATTTGTAGTATCAAACTTAAAGAACCAACCAACTGAAGTTATTAAACTTCAAGATAAATGTAAAAGGTCTTTCAGTTTCATGCAACTGAAACCTTTACTAAAAAAACATCACTTCTTAAAATAATAAGATATTAAACATTTTAAGTTAATTTTAAAACATACTTTAGTTATCAACTCTTAAGCTTACCTGGGCATTATCTCTTAGTCGTATTCCCGCGTAAACCGTTCCGAATCCACCCTTTCCAAGTAAAGTACCAATACGATAAGCTTTCTCGAACGGTTCTTGACGAACTTCGAAAAAACAAAACCAAATTATACCCTAAAGACTATATTAATTAAAGGCAGTCTTTAATCGTAAATACGCGTTTTTAATTTTGCTTATAAATTCATAATTTAGTTTTTTATTATTTTGCTAAGTCTGCTCATTTGTATAAAAAAACTCGAACCACGGCAAGAATACTGTATATTTTACGTAATGTTTGGAACTGAAAATCATATTATTATTAAAAGTACGGGATAGCACTAACATACGAGATAAATTAAACAGTAACAGGTTAAAATATTTCATTACATAAGATAATACGACAGTTGAAAAATGCTCAACTTCGCAAGGTAACGTCAGTAATTAGGCTACACAGTTACATGATTTACAGCGTATGGTTTTCAACGTGGCGACTGACTGCGGCAGGATGTAGACTTAAAAACAAACAAACAACAACAAAGTTCATACTTACTAGATCGTTCCTTTTCTGCAACAGTTTGTGAATATGACCCAGAAGAGAACACTCCCGATAAAGTAGAAATTTTTCGAGAAAACATCGTTAATATCCAAACTGAAGCTTAAGCGTAAATAGTAGGCCTACTATTACTACTACAACTTCACACGTTCCACTCACACTACCAATACTCCCATCCACCGATTACTACGGTATGAGAACTGTAGTAGATTGCCATAAAATAAGAGAACGGTACAGAAAAGTATTCCTCCGCTTTGCGCGCATATCAGACACATTTTTCATATGATTTATTTTTTACATTAATCGTTAGTTGAATTTCAGCAGCTCAAATTAAATAATTATATTTATATCATTAGCTATTTTTCTATCATTATTAATCCAAGTCAAAATTATAAAGCTAATTTAATAAAAACAAATGGAGCTATTTTCTGTTATCTTAGACAGTGTCTGGCCGTTCAAGCTTGCATGTTAGTGGCTGGCTGGTGAGATAAAGTAAAGCAGTCTGTACGCGCCAAAACCTCTCCAATGACGGAAGAAATTACTTTTGGGAGAAACATTTCTGCTGAGTGTGGTATTTTAAAACAAGCTTAGGTTACGTCTTAGGGTCAAATAAATTTGTACACAATGCTTTTAAGTTTATATATACGTATACATATTCTTCTTGTTATTCACACAATTGTTTATTTCGTCATAATTTTTAATTTATTTAAGAATGCTTTTATTTTTTTACGAGCGTAATAACACATTGAATAAATAACTTAATGTAGACAATAGCTAAATCTTCCATATTCAGCAGAAACCAATGTTCGTTCGTGTAAAAAGATTTAATCATTTAGGTATGAATGTACAAAATATTATAGAACTATGAACATCACTATAAAATATTTCAATATGATTAAGTTTTTCTATGTTTTGGAAAAAGTAAATATTGATTATTATAATAAGGTAATTAATCCTTTGTAACTAAATGCGATGTTATGAAGTAGAATAAATAGTTATTTAAAATGTAGTAATTAAATGATAAGCAAAAACACAAAAATGAATATTTTTTATCAGATTTTAATATTAACTCTGAAGACTATTTACATATACAAATTGAAATATCATGCAATATACATATCCTATTATATAGTGCAAAGAAGGAAGCATAAACGAAGGAAGAAAAAAAAAAGGTCTGATTATATAATCATTAGGCCAACTTTAGCAATTGTTTCCAAGGGCTCGATCACGGTTTTAAAACATGAGTCGTTTAATTCTGTGTTTTAATCCCCCAAAAATGATACGAACAGATAACAAATCAATACCGGAATAAACGATTATAACTTTTAGACTTTATCAGTAAATTTCTTACCAGACCTGGCATGGTCTGGTGGTTAGGGCGCTCGAATCTCAAATTGCGGGTTCGAAATGCCCTCAATTCGCCATTTAGGGGTGGTGTCAGGGCCAGTCTTCTCCCCCCCCCCTCCATTGTAAACATTATTGGTTAATACAAAATATCCGAGCGGGTGACCTCAAAACTAAGTGGGATTTTAAGGTCGAATAAAAAAATAAATAACTTTCTTATCAGAGTAGATGGTTTTCGATAACCTGGCGAGTGAACGATGCTTTATGAATTTTTAACGAGTTAGATGAGATAAGTATATCTAAGACAGTGATCATATTTCGGCCATAACTTGTTTAGGCCTAAAATACAAATACTACGGAATTGTGATTTGGATACTGTATACTTACAATATGTTTTTTAAAGTGTTATGGTGATCGTAAAAAGTGGAACTGCAAAAGTGAATATTTTTTAACTATTTTTATTAATTTAATGAATCATCAACTTAATTTCTCAAGAATTCAGTGAGTCATCTATTACTCTAAAATAAATCCAGTAGACTCCCACTTCCCAGCATTTGGCGTTAAGAGTGGAACCATCGGTTAAAACTTTATACAGATGGGAGAAGTGACATCGAAATAAAGAAATGTTTGGAAATCTTTCAACGGTGACATGAATAAACAAACAGAAATTCAGAAGAGCGTAACAGAAAAATAAAAGAGTGTGTTAAGGAAGCTGACAGGAAAACTTAAGATCGTAACCAGGAAATTTACCATAAGTACTAGGTAAAGGTTTTTTTTTTTTTTTTTGTCATGGCTCGAGAATGAACCCGAAATGTCTTGTACGCCAAGCAAGGGCTCTACCAAGTAAACGTTAGAGCTTATATAGATTTATACTTCAGTACAAAGCTACACAATGGGCTATCTGTGCTCTGCCCACCACGGGTATCAAAACCCGGTTTCTAGCGTTGTAAGTCCGCAGACATACCGCTGTGTCACTGGATGGCTTTTAATTAATTCTTTTACTCCAAGAAATCCATACTTTTGTTCCAAAATGTTTTAATTTGCCATGTTTGTCAGTGACACATCTTTCGCTGGAAATCACAAGAAAAAGGGAGTGAAAAGGCTTAGCTTTTAGGTAACACTCATAGCTATTAAAAGAAGACACGTGTAAAAAATAAGCTTATTATTAAAATTCTTTATCTAGAATAAAGTGATTTCTCATTTAACGCATTAATACATATTTAGGGTTAGCTCGATTTGTAACCAGAGATGATGCATATGATCTGAAGACGTAGAAAAAGAAACGTTTGTTCTCTGTAACTGTAACAGTGGTAGGAAAGTAAACGTACACTAGGTGACCTTTGCTTCCGAAACTCATCACTGTTGTAATTATATGATAGCAAGGAGAGGTTAAGGTCATCTTATGGCTATTCTTGAGTGATACTGATGATACAATGTGAAGCAGAGATCAATGGCTGAATATCAATACGTAAACTAAATGAATTTAAATGCATACTAAAAATAATTTATATAAATCTCGATCTATTATTCGGCTAACAAACTGCCAATGAATCATACTGGTTTCATAGTAACCCAGGACAGGGGCTAACGGGCTGGGTGGACAAGACTAGGCTTCTTATAGTGGAGGAGTACGTAATACTTGTGTGATGTTTTGAGTTGTAAACCCATATATATATATATATATAGATTTTATGAATACGTTACACTGGTGCTACTATTTTTTTATTTTTCTGAATTATTTAACAGATAGTTTGTTTAAAATACTAAAATACATGTGAAGCTCAATCTGTCGTTCGATTCACCACAACATCATAGAATTTAAACAGATGTCACAGAGAACAGCAAGATACAGTTACTCAAAAACTGGTCTATTCATCTGTAGATTAACTGGCGTGAAATAAACACAGTTCTTATGTATTTATATTTATAATACCGAAGAAAAGTAACTAAGTGGCGAAACTAGTACAATCAGAGAATGTTTTCTTTAACAGAGATATTAAGACATGGGAATTGAGACAGTAATTTGAACAAAGATCCTAGCGGCCAAATAGTTACAAGATTTACAACAATAGAATAAAATACAGCGGCCAAATAGTTACAAGATTTACAACAATAGAATAAAATACAGTGGACAAATAGTTACAAGATTTACAACAATAGAATAAAATACAGTGGACAAATAGTTACAAGATTTACAACAATAGAATAAAATACAGCGGACAAATAGTTACAAGATTTACAACAATAGAATAAAATACAGCGGCCAAATAGTTACAAGATTTACAACAATAGAATAAAATAAATACATTTTGCATTGAAAGAGAGTAAGTAAGGTATTGCCTTACACGTGAAGCGTGCTTCTTTTCTAGACCTTTATAAAGACAGTAATTTACTACACGTATAACTATAGTCAAGAAGACACGTTATACCATATCACAATCCCCCAGTGGTACAGCGGCATGTCTGCGGAGTTACAACGCTAGAAACCGGGTTTCGATACCCGTGGTGGGCAGAGACAGATAGCCCATTGTGATGCTTTGTGCTTAACTACAAACAAATAAACCATATCATAAAGTTATTTAGAACTACAAAAGTTTATCCTAGCTGGCCTGATGAGCACTGGCATTGGCGGAAAGCCTCGTCGGCACTGACTGTGGCAGGTGTAGAGTTGTTGCCTGCTCCGGGAACAGTAAGACTAGTCTGATAGTTCGCCAGTTCTCGTGAATGATAGTAAAGACGAGTCGAATAAAACAATAAATATAAAATAAATAATGCTGTTTTATTAATTTGTAAATGGCTTACATAAAAAATCACAATGATTACAATTCACCTGCTTAATTTAGGCTCAGCGGTAAGTTTGTGGACGTTAAAATCGGGTTTCGATACTCGCGATGGGCAAACCACAGATAGCCCATTGTGTAGCTTTGTGCTTAATAACAAATAAGCAAACAAAACTTAATCAGGTTCGCACCATAAAAGTTGTTGTTCATGAAAATTGATGATTTATATAACGCCTAGAACAGCACCATGCCTGACGAGCCTTGGTATTATACGAACGGTCTCGACGGCACTGGATATGGTAGATGTTTTGTGGTTGACATATTATAACTTATTCTCCTCCGCTTTCACTCATGGGTTATTAGAATCGTTTTTTAAAACTGCATTAACTCCAGAGTGTAAGATTATACTTGAATTATTAGAGCGACGAAGGACACAAAGTTGCTAAAAAAAAAAGAGAAAGTTTTAGTTTCGTAATGAATAATCCGAAAAAGCAAAACCAAAAAAACAAAAACGGAAAGCTTAATATGCTTACGCCGGCACTTCTGGAATGCACTACGTACAAAATGTATTCCCTAAGAAAGACAAAACGTTTAAGTAACAAAGGTAATAGGTACTCACTCAGTGATGAACATTTTACGGTTCATTTTAAATAATAACAGGTGCAAAGTGTTTTTTTTTTTGTAAAATTAATTATCATACTTCACTTTGCCCGACTATTCATAAAATAATATATATATTTATATACTGTGCTTTGGAAATACATATTTGGGCCCGGCATGGCCAGGTGGCTAGGGCGTTCGACTTGTAATTTGAGAGTCGT